ATCTTATATAAACTGTAATAACTGTAATAACTGTCTTATAAATTTCTTATAACTGTTATATAAAAATAAATATATAAAACTGTTCTATAAAAATAAATATATAACTGTTATATAAAAATAACTTTTTTTGTTTATAAAATGTTTTATGACTACCTTCTTTTAAGCAAAATAGTTTTCACATTTCTTTGTGAGAGAAGAACATAGTGTTTCTTTAAAATAAAATAAATACTTTTCTTATGTTTGTCATTTTTCTCTTTGTTTAAATAAAATAAAAGTCATTTTGAGCCACCTATTGCTGATCTTCGTCGTTTTCTTTATGTAGAGTACTTTGCCTAAAACAATTTACAAAGTGGATTTAAAAAACATTAAAAAAGTACAGAATTTTATATATAATAGTATATAACGCATATACTTTTCTCTAGAAATTCTTAATGTAGCTTGAGCAAGCCATTTTGACGTGTACTCAGCTATATTGTTGTCCGTCATATGACTGTAAATTGTACGAACAGCCTCTATAATATCGAAAAAAATTTTAACAATAATTCTTATATTATTATGCATAAATATTATGCTGTAACAAATATTACACAACTTTTAACAAATGCATATAACAAAATAATATTGGAAAATCATCGTTTATAACGTCTAATTTAACTTATCATTTAAGAATAATTAAGATTAATTGTGTGTACTCACTAAAATACCGTAAAGATGCAATCAATGTTGTAATGGCTCAGAGGGCATAGAAAAAAAACCCATATGCCAGTTATATACTGTAAAGATGTCAAACCAGAATTTCTGGAAGTAAAATAAATTTAGATACTTTCAAATTGTCAATGACAATAGACTTATGAATAATAAATACACTGCGCAAAATTGCCGACCTGTACACGCAACTTGTATATAAAAAACTAGTATTAAGATAATTTGTAACTCGAAAAGTAGTAGACTAAATATTTAAAAATAATTATAATAATAATTATGTACTTACCAAACTTATAAAGAGACAATGCCAATTGTATGTGCCAACTTATATTTATACTAACAATGAGTTTACTAAGAGAATTGGTCTGTGCCAGTCTGTGCATAGGAGAAGAACAACGTGCAATGTGAGGATAGTGATACGCCCGGAATTGGCGGGATATTCGATGACAGCCAATGGCTGTAGAGTGAGAAGGCTTTCTAGTAGTAGAGAATATGTGCGAAACAGACGAGTTTTCGTTTGTTCCGATTTTATTCTCTCATAAAACTCAGTGTAGACATTGCTTCACTGTTATAAACTATATTTTATAAATGTACGCTACATAATCAAAAATATAACTAAACCAGACAAAAATAATTACTGTTTTTTTATAATGATACATATTTTTTATTCTGTTTTTATAAGTGTAGTAAAATGATCTTTTTTGTCTAATTTAGCTTAAAATTATAATATTATATTTGTATTATCGTTTTTGAAATATTGCTGCAATATTATTATTGTTTTATTGCAATTTCAATACTTTTATAATATTGCTGTTACATTACATTATTTTGGAAACATTGCTGCAATATTATTATTGTTTTATTGCAATTGCAGTGTTTTTATAATATTGTTGTTACATTACATTGCAATGATGTAACATTATAGCAACATAACCGGAATGTTCTGTGCTGTATGGGTGGTTATACAGCCTATAAAAGACCATGTAACTTTTATTTGAAACAATTTGTTATATCTTTTACCGTTTTGACAAAATTTGCATAAAAAGAAAAAAACTGTTTTTTTTTGTCAAAGAGGTGTGTGTCACTCTCAAAACGTGCAAGAAAGCACATAAAAAAATACAGATTTCTTATTTTTAGCTACTCTACAACATATTTGAAGCTCATCAAAATCGGAGAGAAACATTTGCGTCACTTCCTTTGTTAGATCGCGTGACATAAGACACGTTCGTTTTTACTAAAATTATTACTTTTATATAGTGTACACAACTATAGCTTTGATAAGTAAGAAGGAACCGTTTATATGGATATGTTTTATTGAGTGTGAAAATCCAAGAATAGTTAAATGAGAGAAAGAATAGTTAAATTACCCACATAGCACGTAATATTGCTGCAATATTGTAGTAATATCGTGATATTAGCAACAATATTACCATGATATTGTGATATTACAGCATTATTGCAGCAATATTACAATGCAACATATTGCAAAACATTATTGCTACAATAGTGCAACAATATTACAATGTGATATATCATAATAAAATATTGCTGCAATATTGCCGCAATATTACATGGTAATATATCTCGTGTAATATTACAGCGATATTTCGAATACACTGCAAAGCGACATATCGCACTACAATATTATCGCGAGATTTAAGAAATATTGCAAGACGATATATCTTACTCTAATATTACGGCGATATTTCAGATATATTGCAAAGCGATATTTCTCACTGCAATATTATTGCGATATTTGAGAAATATTGCAAGACAACATATCTTACTGTAATGTTACGATATTTTGGATATATTGCAAGGCGATATATTTTATTCTAAGTACGTAGTATTTTATTCTAGTACGGTGTCTTTTTGGATATATTGCATAATATATCTCGCTGTAATATTACGGCGATATTTCGGAAATATCACGGTATAATATAGTTCATTGTAATACTACTACGATATTTCAGAAATGCATTGCTTAGTAATATATGTCACTTTAATATATATTATGTATACAAAACGCACAAATAAAATAATAAATTTACCACTCTTGGCCAACACGTACGTTTTGTTTTAAATAAATGTTTGTATTGAAGTATATGTAAAAATGTACCGAAATATATATGTAAACTTCTTAGCAAAAATAAAAATCAAAATTTAAGTAACACACTGTTTTAATAGTGATCGGAAATTTTTGCCATAAGGAGCAGACACGGTTGTTGATGTGTGCAGTTGCAAATAGTATTTTTTTATTGCAAAAATATATTATATAAAACGTTTTTGACTGTAGATTTCGGCCTTTCTCAATATATATCTACAAAAATCGCAGATTCGTAATAACAAAATTAAGAAATTATACAAAAACAATTAGAAAAACTTACAATCACGATCAAATCAATACGTGTATCGGCACAATCGTTGTTACGTGGGCCGCTTCGTTACAATGGTAGAAACGCAACTGAGTACTGACACGATTAGAGACGCGTGTGTAGATTTAAACGATGCTGATCATAGACATATAAAGTATAGACTGGAAATTGCGAGGTATTCACTTCGCGACGCGTCGTAGACTACTTCGTGTGAATTCGTGATCGGCGGAAATATCCGAACGCTTCTCGCTGAAGTTTTACGGAATTCGACGAATTGCGAACTCACACACG